TCCCAGTGAGTTGAGAACTGGTGCTAATAATAGAAGCCTCAGATAACTGTGCCTTTTGCCATAGTAAATAGTTCATTTGCGTCTATCTGTTGCCCATACAGCTGTAGAGAATGATACTGCTCCAATTTGGATCCAATACAGTATTTGGAATGCATGGAAAAGATAACTGAGGCCTTTCCCAGATCAGGTGCCTTACCTCTGAAGGGTTATTTCTCCACGTCATCAGCTCTCAGTTTAGTGCTGAATGCAGCTGTTGAGGGAAGCAGCTGTCTTCCTTGCTGATTATCCTGCCAACAGGAACTTGGGTGTGCAGAAATGACATCAGATTCTTTCCACCTGGAAACTGCTAGAGATGTACAAGAGGTTAAAAAGCTTTTAAGAGCACCGCAATTTGGGCGTGAATATTCATTTTGAGGTGGATGAATTAGTTCCTGATAAAGTATTGGCTGCTTATTTGAAACTGGTTGAGGGAAAGAAAACATGACTCTAAAAAGTTCTTCAAATACATATATATCCTAAATTTTAACTGGTTTTTATTGATATTTATCTGTCTACTTTCTATTATGAAAATTTTCAATATTTAAAGTGTCAAAAGAATAAAACCACAAATGCTTCGCATCTAGATTCAATGGTTGTTAATGCTTTACCATATTTATTTTTTCTCTTCTCTCTGTCTCCCCACAAACACATCATGCGCATAATTTTTGAAAATAAGTTGTCAGTATGACATCATGATCCCTAAGTACTTCAATATGAATCTCCTAAGAATATAGAAAATCTCCTGTATAACCACACCACCACTATCACACCTAGGAAACTTAGCAATGATTCTGCAATCACAACTAATATACAAGTCATCTTTAAATTTTCACAATTGTCCCTTAAATAATTTTATGCAATTTCCCCCCAGACTGAATCAAGATTTGTGGATTCCACCTGGAGGTTAATCTGGAAAATCTCCCCCACTTTAACCCTCTGTTTGGTTTTCATTTACAACGTCGACTGGAATCTGCACCAGCTGTCCTAAAGAAAGTCACACACCCCTGTTTGCCCGATTGCTTCCTGATGGTGTCCTTTAGCTTACTTTTAAGCCCTTAAAATGGAAGCTAGGGTTTTTGTTTTGTTTTTTGTTTTTCTGAGTCTCGCTCTATTGCCAGGCTGGAGTGTAGTTGTGTGATCTTGGCTCACTGCAACCTCCGCCTTCCAGCTTCAAGCGATTCTTCTGCCTCAGCCCCCCAAGTAGCTGGGACTGTAGACATGTGCCACCACGCCCAGCTAATTTTTGTATTTTTTAGTAGAGACGGGGTTTCACCATCTTGGCCAGGATGGTTTTGATCTCTTGACTGTGTGATCTGCCCGCCTCAGCCTCCCAAAGTGCTGGGATGACAGGCATGAGCCACCGCGCCCAGCCAGAATTTAGGTTTTCGGTTTAAATAAACTTTTTTTTTGTTTTTGTTTTTTTTTGTTATAAACAATATCTTATAGGTGTTCCATTAGGAGGTCCACGCGTTGGGTTTTTGCACTACCAGTGATGCTCTGGGGGATGACCTGCTTAAGAAAGTAGTTAGTCCCTGAAAAGTTACCTTTGCCTGAGAACATCAACTAAGGCAAAGTTTACATGCTATTGCTTTGCGGGGTGGAGGTGCAATGCTATGAAAGAAGGAGGGGAAAAATGAATTGGGGGGAAAAATACAAAGTAGTCCATTGCTGAATTGGCCACCGCTTGATAAACAGCACAGTTGACTGCTTGGCCGTGTGAGACATCTTTGGAGGCGCTGTGTAGTCCCACTGCATCTCAGAGGAGTCCTACAAGACAAAGCTCATGGGGTGTCAAAGAACCTGTACTTCATGGCCGGGCGCGGTGGCTCAAGCCTGTAATCCCAGCACTTTGGGAGGCCGAGGCGGGTGGATCACGAGGTCAAGAGATCGAGACCATCCCGGTCAACATGGTGAAACCCCGTCTCTACTAAAAACACAAAAAATTAGCTGGGCATGGTGGTACGTGCCTGTAATCCCAGCTACTCAGGAGGCTGAGGCAGGAGAATTGCCTGAACCCAGGAGGCGGAGGTTGCGGTGAGCCGAGATCGCGCCATTGCACTCCAGCCTGGGTAACAAGAGCGAAACTCCGTCTCAAAAAAAAAAAAAAAAAAAAAAAAGAACCTGTACTTCAGGACTGTGTCACTAGGTGCCTCTGCACAGCCACTGGGAAAGCCAGGTCACCTATAGCCTGTTGGACCTGGGCACAGGAGTTGCTGCAGCTCCTGCCCTGGCAGCTGTAATCACATGGCCTTGCCAAAGACGGTGCTGCCTGTCATTATAGGAGGTAAGGTGACAAGGAAGCTGGAGTTTTCCGCCCAACACTGGGGCTGCTTTACCCAGGATCAGGGCAAGTGGGTCCCCAGGGCAGGCAGGGTCAAATGGATGTACTGGGTGGATATCAATTAGATCCAACATTTATTTCCCTTTGAAATTACTAAATGATTCGTGCGGTACACTTCTTCCCCGTAGGAATATTCTATTGCCCCGCCACTTTTAGGTAATGGTTTTAACAACCATTGATTATTCTTTTTTTTTTTTTTTTTTTTTTTTTGAGACAGAGTTTTGCTCTTGTTACCCAGGCTGGAGTACAATGGCGTGATCTCGGCTCACCGCAACCTCCGCCTCCTGGGTTCAGGCAATTCTCCTGCCTCAGCCTCCCGAGTAGCTGGGATTACAGGCACGCGCCACCATGCCCAGCTAGTTTTTTGTATTTTTAGTAGAGACAGGGTTTCACCATGTTGACCAGGATGGTCTCGATCTCTTGACCTGGTGATCCACCCGCCTTGGCCTCCCAAAGTGCTGGGATTACAGGCTTGAGCCACCGCGCCTGGCCCCATTGATTATTCTTGCCTGTACCATTTATTACAGCAAGAGATGCACGATGTGAAGGCTGGTTATGTTCATCACCACGACGACATCATTGTTTGTAGGCTTTTTCAGGAACACAACTATGGTGCTTTATTTGCATATGTCATGAATATTTATACTTAAAAATACGTATATGATGAAGTAGTATGAGTTTATATTGCTATTAAAATTGAACATAACAGTGTTTAAATTCTTTTTTATATTTTATCTTTTTCTTCTTATACTGAAAAATTCCTAGTTCCTAAAAATGTTGATATATATAGTCAGAGTAGCATGTCCAAGTTGCCCAAATTAACATTTTTGTTTATTGTTGGTTTAGATCAATTTTAGATAGAATTGGTCATTTATTTCATTTAAGGTCTGATTTTAAGGCATTTTCCTTTATAAATTACTTTTATTTCTGAATACGTGGAATAAATGGTTCAAAAGTCAATATTGTGTAAAAACATTTGATCAGAGGAGTCTCACCCCAGTTCACATCCCCACCAGACTCCCTACAAGGATAGGTCATCATGTTGATTAGTTTCTGGTTTTTCCTGTTCTGTGTTTCTTTTTGCAAACATGAGCAAGTACATAAATATGTGTTTGTTTGTTTGTTTTTGTTTTGTTTTAGACAAGGTTTTGCTCTGTCGTCAAGCTGGAGTGCAGTGGCGCGATCTCGACTCACTGTAACCTCCGCCTTTCGGGTTCAAGGGATTCTCCTGCCTCAGCCTCCTGAGTACCTGAGACTACAGACATGAACCACCATGCCCAGCTAATTTTTGTATTTTTAGTAGAGATGGGGTTTCACCATGTTGGTCAGGATGGTCTCGATCTCTTGACCTTGTGATCTACCCAACTTGGCCTCCCAAAGTTCTGGGATTACAGGTGTAAGCCACCGTGCCTGGTATACATACATTTTAATTTATCCTTTTTTCTTACAAAAATGTGGTGCACTATACACTCCATTCTGTCTTGCTTCTCTCTCTTAATAATGTACGCTGAAAGCATCATTCCGCATTGGTTCACAGACACCTTAAATACAAACATTTATCAATTGTTTATCATATGTCAAATGTATTAGGGTAGGCTAGACAATGCTCCAGTAGCAAAAAATCTAAAACAAAAACAAAAATACCCAAACCACATTGGCTTTGTAAATAAAGCCTGACCTCTCACTCACATAAAGTCCTTTGTGGATTGGACAACCCTCCTTACAAGTTATCTTATCACTGTATCACCTAGAACATACATCTATATGGTGGCTTACTGGCTAGAGCCATCACATGGACTCAAACTGGTGGAAAATGTGGTCTCTATGTTTATGAAGAGGAAACTGAGATGGGATTTGGTGAATACTAGCATTACCTCAGCCACACTAGGCTTTATATAAGCCTCACAACAGCTCTGTAAATTAGGTAATCTTATTATTCCCATTTTACAGCTAAGGACATTGAGGCTCCAGGTGTTTATATGCCTTTCAAAGTCAGAGTGTTCCTGTGTATCAGGGTTCATTTCAAATCTAGGTTTGTCTGCCTTTAAAGCCTGCACTCGGCCGGGCGCGGTGGCTCAAGCCTGTAATCCCAGCACTTTGGGAGGCCGAGGCGGGTGGATCACCAGGTCAAGAGATCGAGAGCATCCTGGTCAACATGGTGAAACCCCGTCTCTACTAAAAATACAAAAAATTAGCTGGGCATGGTGGCGCGTGCCTGTAATCCCAGCTACTCAGGAGGCTGAGGCAGGAGAATTGCCTGAACCCAGGAGGCGGAGGTTGCGGTGAGCCGAGATCGCGCCATTGCACTCCAGCCTGGGTAACAAGAGCGAAACTCCGTCTCAAAAAAAAAAAAAAAAAAAAAAAAAAAAAAAAGCCTGCACTCACACCAAATTCTATGGTCAATCATTACTGTCCATTAATAAAGCCTGGGAAATCCATTTCATCCACGCTTGAATGCAAATCTCCAACATTAGCAATCTGTACAAGGGGTACAGAATAATAAATATTTAGAGTTAAGATTCATAAGCTGTTTTCTACAAAAAAGTGCAAGATTAAAATGAAATCCCTGGACCAATAAAGACTAAAACATCACAGGACACGATGTTTCAGTAAATGGGACAATAAAGCAGTTTTATTTATAATTTCTGAATCAAGAGCTAATTGTTACAGGAATTTTTTAAACCTCAAAGTGAAACTGTAAACATTTTTTCTTACTCTTCCTAAGTAAAGGCATCATATATTCAGCACATGAGAGAAGTTGCAGATCTTTCAAAACCATTTGGGGTGGCTCAGATGGACTTATGTCAAGTAATCTCCAAGGATTTCAAAGTCGAAAAACATTCCCTTTAAAGGAAGAAATAAAACAAAACAAATCAAAAATCACATGGCCACTCGGACAGTGCCTTTGCCCCACATTGTCACTTACTGCCTAAGACTCCACGCAACAATGTGCCCAGCATATGCTTTCAGAAAGTGTTACCACCAACTAAAACTGGGAACTCCAAATTAGATGAAGCATTGCCCTCTGTATGCTGGGGTTGTAGACTCAGTGAAAAGGTAGGTGGTTCCAGAAGGGTGATTTCCCCTCACCTGCAAGTGTGAAACTAACACCTGGCTGTTAACCCAACACAGTTTTCACAAAGACTACCCCGCAAGTTTCATTAACCTATCAGTGGCTTTCAGGCACTCTGGGCTGTGACTACAGTTTAGTCAGCCAGTGTACACACACACACACACACACACACACACACACACACACTCTCTCACAGAAGTTTTATGAGACTAAATTCAGGCAATACACTCTGATCCCCCACCCTACCCCACCTGCCTACAGTCAAATCCCACTGTCTGTCCCACATAGGCCAAGACTGTTCATCCCCTGAGATTCAGGACCTTTGGGCTTGGTTTGTCCTTTTATTCTTCTTTTCCCCTCCCTGTCCTCCATCCCTCAGCAGAAAATCAATCATTGTATGAAATTGCTCACACATCGATGTTACCACGAAGCACTGCACTCTTCCCTGCCTCCCTGCTGTTGAGGCTGTTTCTTTAACCTTTGGCTAAAGGCAAGGATGAACGTCACCTCCCAGACAAGGCTTCTCCAAGTCTTCGGCAGCTAGGCCTTGCTGGGCCTCCTTGCAAATAACTGAGCCTTTCTTCACTGGTTCTCCTTTCTCTCTGTCTCTCTCTCTCTCTGCCTCTCTCTGTTTCTGTTTCTGTTTCTCTCTCTCTCTCTCTCTCTCTCTCTCTGCCTCTCTGCCTGGCCACAATTCCTTCTGAGGCCTTATCGCCCTTTGTTAACACTTACTTATCCAGACTCTTCTGCCAGGGTCATCTAAAAAAAGTCCAATCAAACTGGCATTAAAACAAAACCAGGCTGGTCGCGGTGGCTCAAGCCTGTCATCCCAGCACTTTGGGAGGCCGAGGCGGGTGGATCACGAGGTCAAGAGATCGAGACCATCCTGGTCAACATGGTGAAACCCCGTCTCTACTAAAAATACAAAAAATTAGCTGGGCATGGTGGCGCGTGCCTGTAATCCCAGCTACTCAGGAGGCTGAGGCAGGAGAATTGCCTGAACCCAGGAGGCGGAGGTTGCGGTGAGCCGAGATCGCGCCATTGCACTCCAGCCTGGGTAACAACAGTGAAACTCCGTCTCAAAAAAAAAAAAAAAAAAAAAGAAACAAAAAACCCTAATCATCGTTAATGTGTAAATAATTACCACTGGGTAAATATTTGAAATTTTGTATTTAAAAAAATCTAACCAGTATTTATTAAGTTCTGCTGCCTGTGTCTAATACTGTTAGGAGCACACAAAGGTAACCCACAAGTTCTTGCATTCAAGAATCACACTGGAAAACGAGATTTAGTTAAATGAAAGCCATTTAAGGATGACCCAAAGAATAAAATGAGTCTGGAATGATTAATAAAATCAGATAATGACACTGTGTTTCCTCGTCTGTGGAATCACAGCGGATTTGAACAGGTTATCCATAAAATTCTCTTTTATTCCAAATAAATGAGCACTAGATATTTCAAATTTTATTATATTTTATATATAATTTTATATTATACATAAAATAATATAATAATATAAATTATATAGTATATAATAAAATAGTATACTAACAGTACTATGTGCCCGACACCATTCCTGAACTCTTCCAATTCATAATACAATGATGTGGCCATTATAAATCTTCCATGCTGCAGGTGGGGAAACAGGCAGAGAGAGGTTAAGAATTTGCTCATGGGCACACAGCATTGTGGTACAGCTGGCATTTGAACCCAAGGCAGATAACCAATGTGTCATGGCATCTCTGTGTAGGCCTAAACTCATTCTTACCCATACTTATTTTCAAATTATACTTCCTTACTTCTTTAATGGGGAAACAATGTATCCTTGTTGGGATGCCTATTCTTCTATTTGCCATTAACCCACAAACTTTGCCCTCTCAGTTCAAACTCGTACAATTTGCAACCAAGTCTCTAACATTTTCTTGGCTGCATCTTTTCTCCGGGGATTTGGTTTACTGGAGTGTACAAATTTTATTCATATTTTAGCCGAAATCCTGCCTTATTCACTGTATCACTTATCTTTTAAATTTTCTCAAAACATGTTAGGTTAAATCTTCACCTTATAGCTCTCTTTTTTTCTACCCCTTTTCAAATTTTGATTCCACAGCCCCCCCCGGGAGGATTTCCTCTTAGTGCTTCACTAAAATCTGAGTTTCTTCCATGGCTGCTCTTGTCTACTTCATCCTGGCAGCTGCTGCACGTCCACCCAAGTCCTATCAAGACACTTCGGTGACACTGAGAAAATCGGAAAAGGAGGAAGACCAGAAACAGCTGTGCCACAGTGAATTCCAATATAGAGCAATGAAAACTCATGCTGACGGTGGTTTCAAGGAGAGTGGCATTTGAGCTGGTAATAAAGTCCAAGGACATCAGGGAGTGAAGGGAGACCTGCTGCCCTGGGCTGAGGGAGGGAGATGAGTCTGAGGTCTCTGTGTCCCTCAGGCGAGCCATCCCTGACCTCTACTCTGGAACAAACTGCCTGTGGTGTTCTATATAGTGCCAAAGCCCAGAAAACGACAAATCATGATTTTTTTTTCTTAGAATATTCTCTTCACCTGGGTTGCAGCCAAATAGATCTGAGCCATTTCATATATTGCATCCAGTTCCTGAAATTCCAATTGTTTTTCACCCACTCGAGAAGGCATGGCAGAATGCAAGCAAGTCAGCTTGCTGTGCCCATAGACATAACCTCAAACGGGTTTGATTTATTTAGGCAGGTCAGTCATCTGAAAAGGTCAGCCCTTAGCAGTTCCTAGGAATTATTCAGTGGTGTGACACAATGCAGCTGTGATTGGCACAAGCCAGAGACAACTGGGTGGTGGGAGGCACAATGCTAAATTACTAACCCCCAGAAGCCTGTGGCCCCCTTTTTTTTAAAAAAAAAAAAAACAAAAAAAAAACCTTGCCTCGAATGCCACCTAATGAGTGCTTGCTGAGGTGTTGGATGGTCTCAAACCTACATTCTTACATTGTTTTGGAAGGCGTCCTATGTTGATACTGAGTGGGGGGCCACATACAGACCACACTTTGTCACAAAATAAGGTAAAAAAAAAAAATGAGTTCTATACCTGGCAAAAGATCAGAGAACTGTGCTTTGAAAGATGAACAGATGTGTTTCCCTTTTTATGATTAATGAAGATTATTACTGACAATTATTTAAAATGTTTCTAATAATTAACAATGGTTGTTCTTGGTTTAAAACTCATTTCACAAAAGATAAAGAATTATACAGTTCTAATTAAAGTTGGGGAATAATATTTAAAATTGGTTTTCCCAAAGTACTTTTCAAGTGTTCCTGCACAAGGAGATGAGTAAAGAATTTGCTCAGGGTCTGTGACGAGCTGGACCTTCGAATAAGGACCAGAATCCAAGCTCCTGACCCCAGACCCAGCTTAGATGATAAGGAGCATAAATACTCACACTGCAGCCGGGCGCGGTGGCTCAAGCCTGTAATCCCAGCACTTTGGGAGGCTGAGGCGGGTGGATCACGAGGTCAAGAGATCAAGACCATCCTGGTCAACACGGTAAAACCCCGTCTCTACTAAAAATACCAAAAATTAGCTGGGCATGGTGGCGTGTGCCTGTAATCCCAACTACTCAGGAGGCTGAGGCAGGAGAATTGCCTGAACCCAGGAGGCGGAGGTTGCCGTGAGCCAAGATCGCGCCATTGCACTCCAGCCTGGGTAACAGGAGCGAAACTCCGTCTCAAAAAAAAAAAAAAAAAAAAAAAACTCACACTGGAGTTTGGTTGTTCTTGAAGAAGGATTTACGATCCCCAAACAAGGAGTTCCTTTCTCCCCAGGTTGCTTTCAAGACTTTGTGGTGACCCACCTACTCCCAGAAGGCAATCCTGATTAATTTCACTGCCCTCCAAACAGGTCTTGATGTCAGCACTTCTGAACTGACTTCAGTCTTTTGTTTCTTTATTTGTTTTTCTTTTTTCCTTTTTGCTGCCTGGATATAAACTCAATTGTTATTTCTTAAGAATGAATTTCCTTTCTCCAGTGACCTGAAATATCTTGAGGGTAAAAGACACTTCTATTTGTGACTGTGCTTCCCCGACCTTCCTCTCCCACCCGTCTGCCTTTGTACCCCTCTTCCTGCCTCCCTTCTGCCCCTCCCATTCCACACAAGTGGCCCAGTGCAGGAAAACTTCAGCCTCCTGGCGTCAGGGAGGTTTCAAGCGCTCACTGGTAATGGACACACCCCCTCTGGAGGAGCTGGGCTGAAGAAATACTGACTGACCGGGACAAATGCTCCTAATTTAAATGTAAATTCAGACTTTAAAAATAGACCTGGTGATATGCAGAACTTACAATATGGTTTAAACAGACTGGCTTTCTCTGTGATGATCACTCTTTAGGAGCCCTGAAAAGGAGAGGCCAGGTGGGAAATGGGAACTCCTGGCTGCCTCAGGGAGGAGAATGAGGGCTCTCCACCAAGTGCCCCCTGGAAGCTCAATGCCTAGCAGCGCCGGGCGCCTTCTGATTGCATCTGGGAACCTAAAGCCCTCAGATGTTTGTACAGCTCATTGCAGTTTTAAAAGGGTTCCCACACATATGGCTTCACCTGATCCTCATGAGTGCCTTGCCAGGGGTGAAGGACGGGTTTCATTATCCTCGCTTTATGAAGAGGAAACTGGATCCCTGGAGTCCAGGGAAATGAGAGGAGCCAGGATCTGAGCCCACAGATGAATATTCATTGAATTGGACAAATACAGAAATTTTAGAGGAGACGGAGTGTTTGTCCTTAAGAAGCTCATAATCTAGTTGTGGAGAAATGTTGAAAACATTTTTTATTCTTTATTTATTTGAGACAGTCTTGCTGTCTCCCCCAGACTGGAGTCCAGTGGCACAGCCTCAGCTCACTGCAACCTCCGTCTCCCAGGTTCAAGCAATTCTCCTGCCTCAGTGTTTTGTGGGATTGCAGGCCTGCACCACCACGTTCAGCTATTTTTTGTATTTTTTTAGAGAGACAGCGTTTCGCCATGTTGGTCAGGCTGATCTCAAACTCCTGACCTCAGGTGATTCGCCTGCCTTGGCCTCCCTAAGTGCTGGGACTACAGGAATGAGCCACCTCACCTGGCCCCCAAATAAAAATAATTAAAATAACCATGCAACGAATAATAAGGCAAAACCAGACATCCTTCATTGTGAAATGAGGCAAGAAAGTGCTGCGATTTTTTAGGGGACTTAAGTAACTTTCATCCCATGATTGAACTGAACTGAGATTTCTGTGTCCTCCACCCCCACCCCATTCCAAGTTCCTGCTGAATATTCTGGGTTTTGCTAGAATTCCTTATGACACATAAAACATCTTCAGCTCTACACCTTAGCTATGGCGATGTCTGGGCTTATCACGTTATCTTCAGTCCTGTATTGCAGTGCAAGCAGGGCCAAAACAACAAAAAAATTTTTTTATTTAAAAAGTCACAGGGAACACGAAAACGTTGAAAAGGGAAATTTGTATTCAGTGTTCCGGGAAAGTCCACCCTCTCCTTCTAGGAGTGGATCTTAGTGGATCTAATGAATCACACATGAAGAAAGACGTAAAAGAGGAAGGAGTTTCAGGAGAGTACTGAGCAGGTCAAAGGAAGAGGGTCGGGGAGAAAAGCCATGAAACAATCAGGAGACAAACTTTTGGGGACTTTTGGTTGACTAAACGTGGCAATGCTGTGCAAGACTTCTGGCCTGCCGTTTCCTGATGATGGGACTGCTGAGAGAGGAGCTGGGAGGAGCACTGCAAATTTCGCTTTGGACACCTGAGTCAGTGGTATCTGTAAGGGGACGTGGCTGGGAGACCAAGCAGGCAATTGGACATGTGGGCCAGGAGCACAGAGAAGGGGCTTGAGGATGCATATTTGGGTATTGCCATGGTTCCAATGAAACTTAATCCTCAAAGTGGCATCGTGGAAAGGTGGGGCCCTTAAGAGGTGATTGGATCCTGAAGGCTGTATTCCCATTGTTGAGTGGATTACTCATGGGAGAACTGGCGGCTTTATAAGAAGAGAGAGTCCCGTGCTAGCACCTTAGCCCCCTTACCATGTCATGCCCTGAACCCCTCAGGACTCTGCAGAGAGTCCCCAGCACCAAGAGGGCTCTCACCAAATGCAGTCCCTCAACTTTGGACTTCTCAGCCTTCAGAGCTGTAAGAAATACATTCCCTTTCTTTATAAATTACCCTGTTTCAGATATTCTTTTTTTAAACTTTATTATTATTATTTTTGAGATGGAGTCTCACTCTGTTGCCCAGGCTGGAGTGCAGTGGTGCAGTCTCAGCATACTGCAACCTCCACTCCCTGGGTTCAAACAATTCTCCTGCCTCCGTTTCCTGAGTAGCTCTTACAGGTGCCTGCCACTGCGCCCAGCTAATTTTTGCATTTTTAGTAGAGACGGGGTTTCACCATCTTGGCCAGGCTGATCTTGAACCCCTGACCTCGTGATCCACCCTCCTTGGTCTCCCAAAGTGCTGGGATTACAGGCGTGAGCTACTGCACCTGATTCCAGTTTCGGATAATCCGTTATAAGCAATAGAAACAGACTATCTTTGACATGGAGTGGATACTGGAAGTCACGTGACCTCTGTGGAATCATCTTGAAAGAAAGTGTAAAATGAGAAGACACAAGGGC